ATCAGTGCTTATATTGATTTTCTGACATCTTGTTTTCTGTAAAGATTTTATTGGTAGGTTTGCAAATGTGTATCAGACTGTGCAATCTCTCCATGAGTTGGTTTTGAAACCCAGTATGGGATTCTGACATACATTACCAAGGATATTATTACAAGATAAATCATTTGCTTCATTGAACACATACAACAATGCATATTTGCACTGAGATCAGTGACCTTTGATGTGTATCACCAGTGATCAGTCAATTAGAAACAGTCAAAATATTTTATCAGATTTTCTCAATTTTTGCATGATATTTTCATACAGGACATCTGTTGTTCAAACTCAGGGAAGACTTTATACTGATGAATAAGGTGACCAAGTTCGATAAAGTTTGGAATAGAATTAGTAAAGTTATTATGCACACAATAACAATTATTAACGACGACAACAACGACGACATTGCCGGACAAAATTTTTCCCTTAATATACCTTTCCCTTCCATCTTTGATGGTACGGGCAAGGTAAAAATACAATATACTTGAAAACTAGTTTCAACACTTCAATGAAAGAAACATCACTAGAGCATTTAGTTATTGCTACTTATATAGAAAATATGCTAAGACATTACCTTGATATATCTGAATTTTCTACATTTATTTTAATCTGACTGTCTTCTTCTTGTGAGAAGCCTTCACTAGTATCTGTGAAACAATTCATTGCGAAAATAACATTATCAATTATTTGCTGGCACTGATTATGTGCCTTTATGCATAATATGTGTTACATAAACCAAATGATAATATGTCACATAAACCACACAATGTTCTTACCTCCATTAAGATGCACATTGTCAACACCAGATGCATTTTCACTATACTGATGACCACTGTCATCAACTATGTGAACTGAATCGGCATACTGTACATGGTTATGTCGTTTTCTCATCTCTCCTGATCCTATTCTCTGTGAAGACTCTTCCACAGTCTTACTTAACTTGGATTCATCCCTAATTTGCCGTTGTTTATCCCCAGATCCTATCCTATGACTGACTGTGTCATCATCACCATGTTTGTTGTCAGTGTCTTTCACGTTTCTCACTCTTACCACCCGCCGAGATCTTTCACTTGATTTTTCTCTGGGTGGGTGTGGTTTTAAGGTTGGATTTTCCATGGCAACACCTCTCCCTGACACTAACTCACCTGTAATAAGGACAAAGAATATAAATTTGTATAGCATTGTATAGAAATAAATGTCTTGCTTCTGAGTGTTCCTCAAATGACAAGCAATTTAGATATTAAAAAAAGCATGATGCATGATGGGATTCCAGTAACCGTAAAACGCTTTTACCAATAATGGTTAATATATTTTCTTTTCTTCAATTATCAACTTATTTTTTAATATCCACTCGTCAAAAAAGGAAAAAAGATAACATTAATAAAAATCATTTTTATTTTTAGCTTTTGTGTAGCAAACCAAAATACTACTGAATTATAGAGATATATGAAAGCTGTCAAAGTCACTAACACTTACTTTGTTCAAACATGTCATCATTGGTTTCTGGATCCGCAGGGATATTTGATTCTGCATCTGCGGGGATATTTAATTTAATTAGAGAATTGAAAGTTTACTTGGAATATTACAAAATAAATACATGTATATAAGATATACAGTAAACACGTTTTATTATATATTTTTGAGCCAGAGAACTACCGCAGCGAACTATTATTGCTGAGAAAAAAATATTTATGTTTCTGGCCATTGTGTGCATCAGAGTTAGTTTTTTTAGGTTTGTGGTGTCAGAATGTTAGAAAACAAAATAATAATGAGCTCTTGGAACAAAATGACCAAAAATTTGTTATATTTATTCTTAGCCTACCATACAAAGCACATTACAATGAATATACTCACCATCGGGTCTTTGGATTCTTGAATACACTGATCTACTAGTTCTATTTCCAGTAGCCTACAAATAAAAACATGTCAGCTATGTAACTTAATGAACTTTATAAATTAACAATTGCGTTTTCAGATAATTTTTTCAGATAATTCCACATATTAATACTTCATTTTTATTTTCATCACTGCTCATAGACACTACCTTATTTCAAGTAATGAACAGATGACCTTCCTTATGATATTCCATGATTTAAATTTTAACAGAACTAGCCACAAAAGTTTCTGAACCAAATTAACTTGTGTAATTTTCTTTGCTTGTTTAATTTCCAGAAATATACATTTAAGAAACGTTTCATGATATACATTACATCCATAATTGTAAGCATAATAACAACTTTTAATACGAAACTGCAATAGTATTTATTTGACTTCAATATGAATTTAACCGTCTCCCTAATACAACAGATTGCACACACCCACAATGTAACATTTTTGCCAGTTTTCTCGGACTGACACAAAAAAGTCACACAATTTTTTAATGCTTTTTACTGTGGTAATGTTTTCATCGTAATGAACTATCTAAAATTACTCCCATTCTTTTACATGATTAACAATATTAAAGCAAAAGCAGTGAAACATTACAACTCACATCTCTGCTTGCAATGGACGGTTTTTTGGCAGATACTGAAGGTACAGGAACTTTAGAACCAAATGCAATATGCATAGGAACATCATTATTTTTAACTTTCTGACTAGCACCAAGATCTGAAAACATAAAGAAAATTAAAATAGAATCAATTCATCATCATGATCATTTGAGGCAAAGGTTGTTTAGACTACCTTTGATGAATGTATCAACGGATATGCAATATGTAGCAGAAGGACATCTTCAATAGAAGTGCCCATAAAACGAAAATGCATTTAACATATAATTAAAATATAATGTATTATGAAAATAGAAACACCTCTGTGATATACACAAGCGCATATGCAATACTAACAGAGCAAATACAGTACTGTTGTACAGTTGATTGTCTACAAGCAGCACACATTACATTCTTTGTGTTTGATTTGATACGACTTACATAAAAATTCCATACTATGATCAAAACCGATACTTAAGAAGATGACAGCTTTGTCTACCCACGTTATCATACTCTATCAGTGTAAATACAGGAAAGGCAGAAACAACAGAGATACAGACGTATAAAATAAATCATTTGTTATCAAGCTTACCCAGATCTAATGTAGACACTGGTCTTGTACCAACTAGTTCTCCCCTGAGCTTCATTTCAGCCAATCTTATTTTCTGCATGGTTAATACCTGAAAAAAGAAAAATTCATATTATTACCAAATATGTGTACATCATACATACATTTCTAAATCAGTAATTTCTTTTGTAATGTTATGACTTTATATGAATGAAACAGATAGTCATGTCTACATATACATCTTTTTGTTGTGACTTTTTATTTTGACAGAGTAAATAGTGTTCTCTCCAGGATTTCAGAATTATTGTTTGGAATATGAATAGTGGTAGATTTGTATAACAATAGGTTATGCTAATCACTTTTATTCATTGTCATGATACTGCTCAAAATCATAGAGTAGTTGGATCCTACTCTGAGTGACAGATGACAAAAAACAGCCAGGATTTGTGTTGATTAATTAAGAAGGAGGTTCAAGACAAATTAAAGATTATATATAATCTTTTTCATGATTAATGCATTCAGAAAATGAAATGTTTAACTGGGTTATTATATAAAATGTTTACAATGATGTTATTGAACTCCAGGTTTCTGAAGCCCATTTTGTCTATATAACATAAGATAATTCTTTATTACTATCATAAAGAAACATTACATGAATGTTTGTTAAACTGAAAGTTTAATAATGAAAAAAACT